TTTTCTAGATTTGAACATTTTATCATAAAATAATTGTTGTCTTAAAACTAAGCTTTAGGTAATTTTTTAACGAGGCTTTTTAAAAATCTTTTTATAAAATGTTTTCTGAACTTTATGTTCCAGTTATGCTGGAAATGAAAAATACTATAAATGTCCTTATTTAAATAAGAGGATACGTCATTTTATAAGATATTTTGATTATGAAAAAGAATTGCTAAGTTGAATACTTTGGCACTATGGTTCACACAGAGTTAATTTGTTCTCTAGCTTATATGGCAAGAGATTAACATATTATATGTGGTGAATACGTGGTTGAAAGATTACAAAATTTGAAACTAATTAACATATCATGTGGTGTGTGGCATGTGAGTATGGTTTAAAGGTCACAGTCTTTGCACGTGGCTAATGGTCGCATCTTAATGTATCATAGCTGGGGTGGTAGATAACGTAAAATATCTTATAGTAATTAATTATAGAAGAAAAAAAAGGAATAGATCAATTATGGATTTAATGTGAATAATATAGACATTAAGTGAAGTTTAAACCTAATTATTTTTGTGTCAAAAACATTAATGTATATCCACTCCGAAGCATGTTTTTTTGCAACATAGGATTTCGAAGAGTGAGATCTTGCCACTTATGCTCAATTCATTCGAAAACTATTATTATTATTATTATTATTATTATTATTATTATTATTATTACATGCAAATCCATTTTCCGTTGGAGCATTGTTTCATCGTTTTCTAAATGTACAAATTTGAATCAGCCTACTGATTAGGATGTGTTGGCTGAAGTGTAGAGCTTGCCTTTTGGGTTCAATTGGCTTGTGTGGCGTATAGTTTATACGTCATGTCCGAGATTTATCTAATGTCCTATCTAAAAGAATACAACAAAAAAACTTAATCTGAGGATGTTCATTGGATAAGCGTAATTTTATGTTATTGGGAGTTACCAATAACCATGAAGCTTAAATAGACATTGTCCTTTTTTTTTATTTTTTTTTATTATTTATTATTATTTGAATCCGAATGTATTACTTGCAGAAGCTGCTGAGGTAGCAGAAATTTTATCGGAATATGGTGTTGAGCCTCACGAGTATGCACCAGTTGTGAATGCCCTTAGGAAGAATCCAAAGGCATGGGTCGATTTCATGATGAAGTAAGCTCTTTCATGTACCAACTCTTGTGATTTATTTCTATTTCTGAATTAAATATACGATCGTATGTTGCTACTTCATTTCATCATATTGAGTATAAAAATGCGATCGCGCTTAAAAAGTAAAAACATACTCGAATTCGAATAGTGTGATCTCATATCATGTGAGACAGAGAAAGCTATGTATTTATTATTGGAATAAGCAAATGGTAGGTTCTATTACCCATATATATATATATATATATATATATATTATCAAGTGTCATTTTCTACTGGAACTGGGAAAAGCTTGTTATTAGCTGCTGAGTATCTTTTTAAAGTGTGATCTCATATCATGTGAGACAGAGAAAACTATGTGTTTATTATTGGAATAAGCAAATGGTAGGGCATATTACCCATTTATACATACTACTATCATGTATCAGGACTTAAATACCATATCTGAGGCTATTGTTGCAATTCTTTTTGCATACACGAGGTTTTTGTCTCATGTGGATAAACGTATGACTTCCAAGCAAGTCTTTGATTAAATTTTCTAGATTGAAACCCATAGTTTGAATAGAAAAGAAAAAAAAAATACTAATTCTAACAATTTGAATTGAATTGCAGGTTCGAGCTGGGATTGGAGAAGCCGGACCCAAAACGAGCACTAGAAAGCGCATTCACGATTGCAATAGCTTACATAGTGGGTGGATTAGTGCCTCTCCTTCCTTACATGTTCATATCTAATGCAACTGAAGCTGTGCTTGCCTCTGTTGTCCTAACCCTTATTGCATTGCTCATTTTCGGTTATGCCAAAGGTTACTTTACTGGTAACAAGCCCTTCATGAGTGCTCTGCAGACTGCGTTTATTGGGGCTGTTGCATCTGCTGCTGCATTCGGCATGGCAAAGCTCGTCCAAGGATGATTATTCTTGTTGGCCTTTTCTTTCCTTCTTTCTTTTTTTTTTTAAAAAAAAAAATGTTGCCTTAAGCTCGAATGTTATTAACCACAGTAGCTTGCTATATGGTTCGTTTTTATGTTTTATTGATATCATTTTTGCAATGACCATCCTTTATTCAAAAGTTCAAACAGTCGATTGTCAAAACTAGGCTGAATTTTATTTTTTCAGATCAATCTTCCATCTGTCAGAAAAATCGGCATCAGCGTGAAACTATCACGACACTTCTGAAAGGTAAAATCTACCGAGTTAACTACCAGGAAGAACCTATTTCATCATCTAAATTCAGAAACACACGGTGAGAACATGCGGATAGTGGAAATAGTATTATCCTATTTCATCAACCAAAATCAGATACACACGAGGAGAACTTGCAAATCATGGAAATAGAACTGTAAATTCCTATAGCAGTATATATATCTACATTTGTTTGTGGATACAAAACTGGAAAATGGGGAAAAAGAAACTATAGCCAGAGATGGAAAACCTTAAAAGGCTACATAAACGCATACACAATCATGATAGCATCAAAAAAGGTACGCACGACGAATAGATCTTTTCGCGACGCATGCTCTCGCTCACGTAGTCGACTTAAGGGGTAAGAGGACAAAAAAACAAATTTACCAGAAAATTTCTCATTCAAAGCCATGAAAAGAAGCCTAAATCCATATACCACAAAAAAAGATGCTCTCGCTCGACTAAAATCCTCAACTTCCCCTAATAATTTCAGAAGTCAAAACTCCCATTCGTTCAGCTAAAGCATCTACTGACTCCCCGCTGACATCATCAACCACATCATTACCAGAATCATCCGACTCATCAGATTCTATAGTCAACCCAATCTGTTTCTGCCCAGGACTAGCAGATTCCAACTCAGCAAGCCCCCCATTTTCCATTGATGGGTAGGGAAGAAGAAGCTTCTCGAGCATATCATCACTCTCGTCCGCACTCGGAACCACAAACACCTCGTGACTTTCTACGGGAACCGATTTTTCCTCAAGCAACTCATCAATATCCATGAAAAGCTCCCTAATCTCGTCCACAGATAAATCCAACTCCATCAAACCATCCCCAGAAAAGGACCCGGAAGCTTCCACAGCAGCCCTCGTGGGCCCCACTTGCCCGTATCTCACTATTGCCGTCTCACCACAATCGTCCGTGACTTCGCTCAATTTGGTGTTCCCGTTTTCGGACACGCGCCACGTGGCGTTCTCCTTGGGCTGGAAAAACTGGAGCATGAATTCGGGGTTCTGCATGGCCATCACAATGAAAGAGAGCATCTGCTGCTGGTTCTTCTCCATGCCCTTCAGCTGCTCCCTCAAAACCAACATCTTGCTTTTTGACACCTGCTGCTGCTGACTCAGCTTCTTCAACTCCTGGGTAAGGGCAATTTTGTCAATCTTCAGAGTCTCCACCTCTTTCCATAGGGCAAGTCTCTTGTCATCCTCGGGTTCCTCATCTCTGTGAAGGACAGCTTTTTTCTCTGTTTGGTTCTGTGGGTGCTTTCGCCGGATGATGTTTTTGAGCAGGTGTTTTTGGTCTTTGCGGAAGGCCTCATTCGCAAACTGCCATTGGTCAGTGTCGATTTTCCTGAAACCCTTTAGGATTCGTTTAAGGGAAATTTTGATAAGTAGGTGTACGCATCAAGTGTGAGTAAAAGAATATAAAAGCACATCATGACATATCCAAATAAATGGTTTGCATAGACTAATCCTAATAAAATAATGGTGAGTTTACATTTATAGCTATCGTGTCCAAGTATCGAACGAGATTCGAATAAAAAGTGAAATTATTAGATCCAATTAATTATTTCCAGTGTGTTGCTTGGTCTAACTGCTCTATCAATCGTGTAGAAGAACTACAGTTGGACAAAATTTCTACGCAACATGCATGGTGTACACACATACCTCTATAAAATTCAGAGGAGTTATGGGTGGGAAAATAAGTAAGTTATTTGCTCACAACTAAATTCAAGGTATGAGGAACCATGTCAATGCAACAAATGAATATGCCAATGTATGGTTAAGCAAATAAAGGTAATAGATTGAATCAAAAGCCAATAATGATACATAAAAATAACGATAGTAAGTCAATATTGCACATCCTTGCATCACAATGTAATTATTGCAATTGAGATAAGCACAAGACTTATTTCCTTGAATAAGAGAACATTGCTGCTGAAATCAATATAAGCGTTAAGAACTTTAGTCGCAAGAAGGTCCTCCATCACAAAACCGAAATGTGTTAAATAATAAATAAGTAACAGAATCAAGTAAAATATGTAGCATGTCCCCTTGCCTTAGTAACAAACAATCCCAACCTCATGCCAAAACTGCATGACAGTATTGAACACCTATTTCCAATTACATTGGATACCACTGTTTTTCTATCTGTTGAAACGTTCACGTCCTTGTTTATCAGTCACAAATACAGGAACTTGGCTGAAAATTTCTGTATATCAGATTCAAGGGAAGGAATAGGCATCAATACCAGAGACTCGAGTCTAACACTAGACTCAAATTAATGACTTTCAAATAAGAAAACATAACCCAATCCAGACAATTATTCGTAGATTACAGCATCTACCACTTTGTCACCACATGGACCTTCGTGAACCCAATTACTCAATAGAAATATTTCACAAGCAAACTGAATCTAAAGAAACCGTTACCATTTTCTTGACAGAAAAGAAAAGAAAGCCATTCTGCACTAACCACTATGTAATACAGAGCAAAAGCTAAAAAGAATTTCTCCCAGAAAATCACATCTAACAATAGATAAGTAACAAGTGCATACAACCAGATAGACTACACCACATATAAAGCAACCCAGAAAGAATATAAAAATCGAAAATGAAGTTGAAAAGAAGAAGCTCACATAGATATTGAGCTGGCGGACAAAGCTGGAGAAATTGCTGTGCTTGAAATACTTGGGGAGCAATTGGGAAGAAAATCTTGATTCATCCCATATGATGAAGCTATCGTTCGACTCACTCCAGGAAATCAATCCATCGGTGGATTCATCACAGACCATCTCATAGCATTTAACTAAGAACGGTGGCAGGGACACCCCATTATCCACGGACTTCACCATAACCTTTTCAATTCAAATCACGGAAAGGATCCTGACAACCGAATTCTAATAATATTCAATGATTCTTAAAGAAACTTATTTCAGAGAGAAGGAAAACATACGCAATTGATAAAAAATCCGATGTCGCAGCTACCAAAAAAAGTCGGAATTGATATTTTTGGGAAAATGAGATAAAAGTGCTTCAGGGTTTATAACAGGGATATGATAATTGATCGTATACACAAGCCAAAAATAAGTTTTCCTAAATTGCTTGGAAACGAAGACGAAGAACAAAGGGGTATATACGGAAAGAGGGAAGAAAGTGTAGGAGAACAAGCCTTTGTTTCACGTTTTTTGCCGGAGCCGACTTTGCAGAGATATTACTGAACAAAAGAGAAAATATATATATATATATTAGTACAATATACATGTACTACGAGTATTTTTGTTAAAAAATTTATATTTAAAATTAAATAATAATAATATCACTACTTACACGATTTACTATCTTATATTATACTCTCTCCTATTTTTATTATTTGTCATTTTGAGAAACTAACATACTAATTAAAAAAATTGCTTGCCAATATTTTTTTTCTTGTATTAGATGGAGGGTTAAAATGGAAAAATATGAACAAAATAGTCAAAACGACATCTATTTAATCAATGATCAATTAAGCCAGAGTGATAAATAATGAAAATAGGAGTGAGTATATTTTTCTAATTTATATCAAATAACTACTTTGTAGTTAAGTTAGTTTAAATAATTATATTTTTTGAATTAATATTCATAAGTAATTTAATTTTAGTTATAAATATAAATAAAATTATTTAATTATTTTGTATCTATAATATAGATGTCAAATCAAATTTCATCAAAGACATGATTAATTTGATATATTATATATAAAAAAGTATTAATAAATAAAAAGTTATTAATATTTAAATATATTTATAATTAAAGTTAGTAATTTGTTATAATTTTAAAATAAATATGAGGAGAAAAATAAGAAATATTCGGAAAAAAAATGTATACCTTATACCTCGTCTACAATAGAAAATGATGTTAAAACATAATTAATGCTCTTTAAAAGAACCACAAATATCCAATATATTTATGAATATTCCGAGCCTAGTTACTTTTGGATTGAAAATAAATTTAAATTCATCAAAGCCAAGCAACAAAGTTTAAAAATTTGACACATAAGATTCCGAGCGTGCAAGCCTGCCACTTAGGCTCAGCTCATTCGAGAATTATATATAAGGAGGATTGTTTTTTTNGCACAAAGAGGAGAGAAGAAAATAATAAAGTTGGAAATAAGTAAAAAAAAAAAGTTGGAAATGAGTGGTATGTGATGTAAATCTCTCTTGAAATTATACATAGAATTCAAATCGAGAATAGAAAACTCAAAGTCCCACATCCCAGAACGTGCTGAGCCTAAGTGGCAGACTCGCATGCTTCGGGATCCTATGGCAAAATTACATGCTTCGTTATTAGGCTTGGGTAGATTTTAATTTACCTCAAATCCAAAAATAATTAGGTTCGAATTATCCATAAATATGTTGATTATTTATGGTCATGTTACATATATTAATTGTATTTTAATATCATTTCTCATTATAACCATTGCATTGTAAATATATTTTAAAAGTTAATAACTTTTGTATTTTTTTTATCAATTTTACATATATAATATATCAAATTAATTATCTCATGATGAGCTTCGATTTAACATCCATATTGTATTTATAAAAATAATAAATTATATTTATCTTTATTAAAATAATTTTTTAATATTAATTTAAAAAATAATATTTTTTTATCAATTAATATATTTATATTTCAAGTAGTTATATGAAATAAGTTATAAAAATTACTACAATATAACACATGTAAGTCGCACAAGTAACAAGTGTCATTCTAAAATTATAATAATATATATATTTTTTTTAAAAAAAGTACATATATTTTAAAATAATTTTTCTCATTAATTTTAAAATTTAAGAATAATTTTTTAACAAGTACCCGTGTAATACACGAGTGTTGTACTAGTAAACACGTTTAATTGTAAATGAAATTATTAATGATATCATATTTTATAATGAATTGAATTATGAGATTAATGTCATAGAAAGCTCGCCATATTTATTATCATGAAATGTAAATGAAATTATTAATTATATATATACTTATATTAAAGGGAGTCCTATTTATCAAATTTAGTAGCTAGAAAAGTCAACAGTATTTATTGTCATTACTATTTCCGTATTATACAGTTTTATTTAATATTTGTTTTTCTGTTACGATTTTTAAAAACAGATATGGTCAAATTCTCTCATCATTAATTACTTTCCATTAATTACAATTTATTTATTTATTATTTTCTTAGCAAAAATGGACCAACATTAATTGATTTCCTTAAAATGTGGAAGTTGTTGCTTTATTTTTGTACAGAAAATCGGGCTTCATTATAGAAATTTGTTCAACTACACAATGAATTTCTATGATATAATTATTTTTTATTGGAACTTTTTTTTTTCTAACAGAAAAATATGGCATTTCAGTAAGATTTTCGATTTTTTAAGACTGATTGTTACTATGCTATGAAATTGAACATTCCAATATGCCTTAACAAAATATACACGTGGTGTATACATCAGTTAATAGAAATATAGAATCCTCATATTTTTATATATACGTATGTAATTTTTCTATTACCAAATTTAATTGATAGTTGTTGTGTTATGAGTTTTTTCATAATTGTTACTTGGTTGTTGTGATATTTAGTTTGATTCGTGTCGCAAAATTTCTAATCTATATATATAATAAGAATAATCATTACAATGCAAATTAGAAAAATATTGATATTAGAAGAGATTGAGTTCATGGCTTTTCTTAAATCAAAGTTGTTTAATTAGTATACAAAATTAAATTCTAAAAAAATATGTGTATATTTTGTACATTATTTATACACTATTTAATTTTAAATTTATTTACATATTTTAAATTCATTACTTATATAAATAATACCAACGTGCATTAAATATATTTCATTACATAAAATAAAAAGAACAAGAAGACGTGTAACTTGTATAACTTTATAAATAATAATGACATTATATGACAACAAAGTTTAATAATTAACTATTATATAGTGAATAAGAATAAGTAAAATTGTTATTTTCTCTTACATGAAGGAATAAATATGTATAATAAAATTAAATTTATATTAGTATAAATGTGTTAGTGAGATAATGTATTAATTATTTTACAAGTTAGCCCTAACATGGTCACGTTTAATGTTTTGACTAATAAAACAACGCTGATTAAAAGATGTGAAAAATATATTACAACCCTATTTTTTTAGATTTAAGCGGTGATTAAAAGAGGTGGAAAATAGATGATAACTCTTTTCAGACTTAAACGAGATTTAACGGGGATTAAAATAGGTGAAAAATGGATAATAACCCTTCTCAGACTTAAACGGACAGAGCCTGTAAAAATAATTAATTTAATATCTCTCCCGTGCATCGTACGGAATACGTACTCTCATATTTTATAATGAATTGAATTATGAGATTAATGTCATGGAAAGCTCTCCATATTTATTATCGTGAATTTGGATGGAATCTTTGGCTCCAAGTTGTTTCAAACGAAAACTCATCATATGTTGGTTAATATATATATTTAAAAATTCTCTTGATAATATGAATCACCAATAAGATTTGTTTTAATCCGAGTTTAGCAAGCCACATCAAGGTTGATAGTGTTGCTATAGATATGCACGATGCATATACAACAAAAGATTTTAATCCACCCCCTTCAGAAATAAAAAATATAAATATAAATATAAATAAAGATAAAATAAAATCGTCAAGTTTATATTTAACAACTGAAGGAAACCGCAGAGGAGCCCTAAGTTGGTTCACTCACGTGAAACCCACACCAGATGCCCCCACGGAATTTAGTTACCACATTGCATCTCATGACTGAAATGCCCCTACATAAAACTCATACCCCAGCATCTCTTCCCACCCCTACGGGGACAGTTGCGTAAATATCTCAACATCAAGAATTCAAGCGCCAAGGCTCTCTCTTTCTTCACAATCAAACTCGTAAAAAAAACGCACACACACACACACGCACGAAAAATTCGAAATTTGGGAGACAGAAGAGTTGAAGTCGACGGAGTTCGTAATTTCGGCGAAGATTTTTCTCCAATGGCGTCGATTGTGTTTCACGGGCCTAGCAACAAGAGGAAGAACAGGATTAATTCGGCGAGACTCTTCGATTTCGGAAATTCCGCGGTTTCAGGGGCCAACAACTCCGGCGCTTTTAGAGATAACATTCGCAATTTTCTTCAAAGTTTTGGGGAAATCGAAGACTACACAGTTTGCGATATGACCGTGTGGTGTACTGCACTCGTCTCTGAGGCCGACGGCGTTCTGCCTCTCTATGTTATCGAGGAAACCGTTGAGAACTCTCTCGATCCTTTCTGCAAACACTGCGAATTATCAGGTGTGTTCACATGGTTTTCTCATCTTTGTTTTCCAATTTTTATTTTTACTTCATGCTGGCTGGAATTCGAATTTTACCTTTTA